TATTTCACTCTCATCTTTGCTCATCCCTTTCCTCTATTAATTTTGGACTTTTGCTTCCTCTTCTTTTTCTAGCTGTTCATAGTGTGAGTCAGGTTGTTTTTTTGAGAACCCTCTTGTTTTTGAAAAGCTACCTCTACCAGTCTTGACAGAAAAGCCTGTTAGAGGAATATGAAAAAATGTTCAACATCACTTGTAATCAGGGAAATGCAAATCAAAACTACAATGAGATACCATCTCACACCAGTGAGAACTGCATATATTAAAAAAAAGCAACAACAAATGTTGGTGAGATTGTGGAGAAAAAGGAACTCTCCTGCACTGTTGGTGGGAGTGTAAACTGGTCCAACCACTATGGAGAGCTGTGTGGAGATTTCTTGACCTACTAAACATAGAGCTTCCATATGATCCAGCAATTCCACGCCTAGGTATTTACCCGAAGGACACAGAAACAGCAATCCAAAGAGCACCTGCACCCCTATGTTTATAGCAGCACTATTTACAATAGCTAGCTTTGGAAACAACCCAAATGCCCAAAAATAGATGACTGGATCAAGAAGATGTGGTACATATACACCATGGAATATTACTCAGCATTCAAAAAAGATAAACACATGCAATTTGCAGCAACATGGATGGAGCTGGAAGGGATCATGCTCAGGGAAATAAGCCAGAAAGAAAAAGAAAAATACCGGACAGTCTAACTCATAGCAGGAATCTAGAAAACTTAAATAAGGGACCAGGAAAAAGAATAACTATAAGAAAGAAAATATCAAAATCAACAAACAACTATGAACCAGAGACACTCTATAGGGGGGTGGGAGGTGGGGAAAGGAGGGCTTGGGGTCAAAATAAGGGGGTTGCAATTGTATGCAGAATATAAAAATAAAATTTAAATAAAAAAAGAAAAGCCTGTTAGACATGAATCTTATTTTCCACCCCGGTCCCACTTCTTAGTTGTCTCTCAAACCTCTGTGCTTGTCCAAGTTGCCTTCTTTGTTAGTTGAGGATCCGACATGACAGTGTTTCAAAGCAGAGGATGCTGGTCAGCACCATGTGTAGTCTGATGGGAAGTTGGGACAGCAGGCAGCAGCTTTTAAAGTATGCAAATAGACCTTTTTCAGGGAAACTAGAAGGTGGGTGATTTTGTTTCCTCCCTTTATCCTGAGAGCTGAGGGAATAATTGGCTAATAATTGTTTAATTATTTGCTATAGTTCTGTAGTTCTGTGAGACAACCCCCACTGGCCACCAGGAACAGGTGGTCATAGAGTGTGTTCCTTGTGGCAGTCACAAAAGCTTGGGTGCTAGAGGTATGGACAAGTTTCTTATAGGTAGACAGCATTGACCTGGAGTATGCCAGAGGGAGGATGTGAGGAATGGTGCCATTTGTGGCAACATGGATGGACTTAAAAGGGATTATGCTAACTGAAATAAGTCAGAATTAAAAAAGATAAATATCAGATGGTTTCACTTCAATGTGGAATATAGAGAAACCAAACAAAAGGTCAAGAGGAACACAAAACTAGCAAGCTGACCATAGATCTGAGGCATACAGCAAAGGAGGGGGGGGAAAAGGGGGTCAAAACAGGAGAGGGAAGAACTCAATGGAATATGGTGATGTTCACAGATGATATTGTGGTGGGAGAACTATGGGGAATACACATGAGGTGAGAAACCAATCATTATACAAAAATAAAATTTGAAAAATTAAAAAAAAAATTGTGCCCTCTAGTACTCCCAATCTCTGGGGAGGATTGCAATCAGTCTCTTCTAAACGCTAAAATTAGAAGTCTGACTTTCCGGCAACAGCTCTTGAAGAAGGCAAAAATGTTTCCTTCAGAAAAAGACCAAGAAATGGGCATTTCTGTTACCTTTCAGCTGGGAAGATGGATAATCAGAGATTAAGAACTTTTCTTGATTTGTCATAGTCTTTTGACTCTCATGGATGTGAGCCTTGTGAGATTTCATAGCAAGGTGTTTGGAAGGCCTTCTCTTTGAGTAGGGGTCTTGAAAATTGGGCCACTAGATGTAGGGTCCAAATATTTCACTCCTCAGAGAGAAGTTAAGACATGTAGGTTCCTTCCCAATTGTATAGACCTGCGCCAGGGGTGAGGTTTGTGGTGAGATGTGTCTCAGAATTTCCTACCTGCATCAATGTGGGTATTTCTCTTTCATCTGATGTATAGGAGCCACTCAGCTTGTTTCTGGATTTTTTTCACAGGTAATTGTACTGAGTGTATATTCTCTGTGCTTATAGAAGGAGGTGAGATTAAGGAGCCTGCTATGTTGCCATCTTGGATCAAAACTCTCTGAAATCTGTGAATTTCTTAACTGTCTCCCTGGAGACTGAGATTATCCTTGAAGAAAAGTCATTTTATTTACTGGAGTAACTCCGGCATTTTGCATAGTGACTGGTCCACTGAAGGACCTCAACAAACAATAAAAGTTATAATATGAAAGTGATTTTTGCAAAAAGAAAGGACAATGCAAATTTCTTCCTATGATTGTTCTTTCATTTAATTTTTGGATTATCAAATTAAGCCCAAGATAGGTTGTGTCTTATGCTCAAAAATTAATGATAGAAGGAAGTAAAACTCAGAATTTGACTCTAAATTATATATTCTTTCAACAAAATATTTGTTTCATCTTTTGTTTTAAGGGCTTGGATTGGCAAGGCAATCTATTGTTTTAGGTAATGTACTTTTCAGGTTTTTATTTTTTGAAAACTTAGGGGGAATATAAAGTAATATATTTTTAGTAGAAACTTGCTATATACATTAGTATATAAAAAGGGAAATAAAATTTACTCATAATTCTACTCCATGATATATACCATTAATTATTTTCAAGGTGAAGTAAAAAGCTGAATATTTTTCTGCATACAGCATCTTTATAAGCAATTGAAACAATTCAAGAAAGTGTAAATGAGCAGCAAGAATGGTCTTTTAAAATATAAAATAGATTCTGTCACTCTCTCGATGAACACATTTTCAGTGCTTTCTTGCACTTATAAGTAATCCAAATATTTAGCAGAGAATACGGAGTCACAAAATTTGATTAATTAAGTGCCTCTCAGACATCTGCTCCTTTCATTTCCCTCATTGCTCGCTATATTCCAGCCTCCTTTGACTTCTTTCAGTTCCTGGAGCATCATAGGCTCACGCCTGCCTTCAGGATCTTTGTCCTTCTTAACACTGATTTAAAAGTAAAAACTCTTAAGCATCATTTAAAGTAATCTGTTAAATTTTCAAATTAATACACATTTTCTATAAGAATTAAAATAATTGAGAAGTTTAACAATACACATCGGGACAGCATACATCATTCAGAAACAAATATAAAAATTCAGATGATAGTTGCAGTATCAGAAATCATAGGAGGAAAAGAGTCGATCATTCAATGAACTATTCTGAAAATACTAGAGAAATATAGGCAAATGTTATTTTCAGGAAGAGGAGGGCAATTATAATTATGACATAAAACCCTGATATTATAAAGGAAATCAACAGAAACAATTCTTAAAAGATAAACAGAATTTTCAATGGCTCCATTATATTTCATTAAGTCAATGGGTCATAAATTACTATCATTCACATACTGCTGGGTATCTGCATTGTTTCCAATATATTATTATTTTAAATAATAGTTCAATGAACATGTATATGTTATATTAGGATTATATTTGAATGATCTTTCTTACTGCAATTTGTGGTATCACCCCTTTGTTGGAAAAAAAAGTGGGTCATTGGCTTTGGTGTAGAAAATTTATTGTCACAGAGGCCCTTTTAAAAATAGCCTATTTTAAAGAAATAGATATTTAGAGATTTGTGTGATTTTTTTTTAACCACCTGGTGCTTTCTTTGCTCTTCATAGTATGAAGTTTTTGTTATCAGTATCTAGGATTTTTGAGCTCCTGAAGTTAAAATAAAAATTATCACTCTAGATGAGAATTGAGTCCTGTCTTCTCTAACAGGCAATGAGAACCTTTTGTAGGAGTAAACTTGTTCACCATAAACTCAACCTAACATGACTGAGGATTTATTCCCCATCCAATTTCTGATTTCTTTTGATTGTCTTCTTATATTGCTCTGTGATTTTAACCCTTTCCTGAATCTATTTTTTGAAATCTATACATCCCTTGGCATAACAAGCTCCATAGCTATGGATAGGCAGCACAGGGAACACAGTAGAGTTGTTGCTGGGGCAGGCGGGGTGGGTGGTATAGGGATGGGTGGCAGACGGGGTGGGTGTGGGGGTTGCTGCTTTGGATTTTACACATTCAATAGCAAATTTTATAGAAACTGAATTCATTATGAAGAACGTGGAGCTCCCAGGTATTGACAGAAAAGAAATAGACCATTGAGTAAGGAAGGAAATTTTTTAAAAATTTGAGACTTGTGCTTTTGTTTTGTTCTGTTTTAAGATAACAAAATAGAAAACTTGCTTTTAGAAAAGGAAATCTCTGCTTTGGTTAACTTCAGAAAGGAATTATTGGAGCATTTTTCCTTGCTTGTTTCAGCTACTTAGGCTCATTGGCTACAGCAGCCAAGCTGCCTGGTAAAGTCTAGCACACACTGCTTTCTGGGTGTGCCCCTCACCTTGAAAGGTGGAATGATTTACCATTTGGCACTGTGGCATAAGCAATTCTAACAACTGTACTATCTAATGTTCCGGGAGCTACTCAGAATTCAGCTTTTCAATAGCTATTTCAAAAGGCATTTTAAAATATGGCTTCTGATAAAAATCAGTGGCCAAATTCACCCCTTATAATTATAATTTTACTAAGCAGAATCTCCATTCATTCTAATAAAATGTTGGATAACAACGGCATGTGGTATGAAATGTCCCAGCTGCTTATAAACTATCTATAGGAAAAGACAGAGGAAAAACTGCCTTTATGAATTTCAATCTTCTTATAAATCTAGAAGGATTCATGTAGAAGTGATTTTTGGATTCCAGATTGGACAGTAAAGTCAGGCAAAGCAAAAGTGACCATACTCACTCATTAGGGGTGCCCTTCTGGCCACAAAAGTGGCCCCTGCTGTCTGTAGGATAGGCCACTCTCCTGGGGTCGCCATGTACCCATGCTGCAGGAACAAGAAAGAACAAAAACTCTATCAGAAACAGCTGGCCTGAGGCATTCTGATTTGAGAATTAGAATGCATCACTGCAACAGACTAACCTCTCCCCTCAGTCACAGGAGAGTATTGATTTTCTTCAAAGAGTAATTTCTTAATGAAAAGTAAAATAAAATATGGATGAATCAGTCAGAAATCACATTTCTCTTATTCTCTCAGGATTCATCTGGGTTGTAGCCAAAACATGAGGTAATGCACTTAGAAAATGACATTTATTAAAATGTGAATTGGAGGGCACACTACAAAAGCTTGGTAGGTTAGAAGTCATTTCTCTAGAGCCCAAATGAAATGACTTCATCATAGAACTAATAAATTTACAGCAAATATTATGATGTAATTCTTTTGGGTTATGCTAAGTGAAAACCATTAAAAAAATTAAAGGAATAAAACTGTAACGGCCAGTTCAAATTGACTAGTGCTTTATGATTTCATATGACAGTCTAAAGGTAAATAGTAGCAATGTCAGGGGCAATGCATCATAAAGATTCACAATGCATCTGTCTAGTAATCTCGAAGCTTACTATAAATATCAAGTGCTCTCAAACCATGAAAACCATAGATTCAACTCTATTTTCTCTGAAGACATTGGGTTTTACCTCGTATAACTCATCATCTTTATTTTCAAAGAATTGTAAACTTGACATGTATACTATAGAACCACAGTAACATGCATTTGCTAAACTGGGTAATACTGCCTAATTCTCACTGAACATGCCTTACATTTCCAATATTGTTCCTAAAAATCTAGGAAATGCACTGGTCATCTAATGCTAGCTTCTGCATATGAGAAACAATTCTTTGTCCTTTGCTTCCTTTAGCATTTGCCGAGCTATCTCCACACCCACATTTATTGGATTTGACAGTTCGAGTTATAATCCAATCACCATAATGTACATGGCCTGTGTGACTTGGGAAGATAAAAAAAAATCAATTCTGAATGAGAATTTTAATATGGAAAAGAAATTTTTCTCACTCATGGAAGCCTTTCCTTTTAGTATCTAAGTATCCAGAAAAATCTCCCTTGTGTAAGTCTTTCTCCAATGTCATAGAAGCCAAATTGGTTTCATCTTCTAATACCTGCTTATAAAATCTGACTCATTTGGGCAGCTCTCAGCTGCCATATCTTCTCATGTTTATTTCTCAGAATAATGAGAGCAGACTATAAATAAGGCATTGAAATGACAGCAAAGCATTCAACATACAGTGAGTCTCCAGACAAAATTTTATTATGTTCTTTTATATTTTAGTTTGTCACATTTTTGACTATCCCTGAAAATGAGATCTAATTTTGTCTGACTCTTATTTTTTGTAATGTTTCTTTTAACCCTGTCCTGAAATGTTTAATTCCCTTTCCATACATTAATACAGAAATGGGCACCTAACGAAGCACTTGGGTTAGTAGGTTTGCTACTTAATATAATTAGTACCCTGAATAAGTCCCTTGATTATTTTGAATCTTTGCTTTCTAATTTGTTACTATAAGACAATAGGTATAATAATAACCGGCCTCATAAGAATTTTGAAAATATGAAAGAAGTTAGCAAAAATGGGTGCAAAGCCAGCAAGGTATATGCCAACGAGCAGAATACACTTGTGACAGCAGTGAATTCATCCTGCTGGGACCTTCTGAGAAACCAGGTAGAACATGCCTAGCAGTGGCCACAGCTGTAAGCATACTAAGAACTGGGGGAACAGGTGGGGCACCAGAAGCATCTGCTACAGTTTTCTTCTTCTTTTCATTATCAGTCAGTTAAGAGAGAACTTACTAAATGACCACTATGTGCCCTGTACTAGAAGTCAATACCAGTGTAGTTTATGTCAGAGTTCACAACAAATACCTGAAAAGGAGAGAAAAGATTGTAGAAGGCTTAGGAAAGGGGTCACAGTGCAAAAGCCTGAAAAATGAGTAGGATTTGGACAAGAGGTCAGGAGTAGGGAAGGAATTACAGATTAAGGGAAGAGTATAATAATAAATTCTTTAATATAGTAGTTGCTTACAATGTGCGAAGTACTACATTAAATGTATTATATCCATTGTTTTATTTTTATCTCACAACTATGACAGTGTCACAATAATCCCATGAGGCAAATATTACTTATACCCATATTTTATACATAACTGCAACTCAGAGTTTATGTCTCAAGATCACTTTTAAATGGTATAAACCGGGCTTGAACTTAGGTTGTTGCTCTCACATTCTTTAACCACAAGAATATAGTAGCTAAAATGCTGTCATTCAAGGAGAGATCAGGAATGAGTTTGTTAGCAGTGGGAAGCAACTAGATCAGCTACAAACAACAGGAGAATCAGCGGTGTGTTGCACACATATGGTGTGAAAGCTGATGACACAAGTAAGTTTGAAACTTTGTCATTTGAAAAAAGAGCTCTGTACTTGGTGGAAAGGCAGAGTGGCTGGGAGGGAGCTAATGCCAGAGGGCAAAGGAGATGAAGATGGAAGTATTGAGGGGAGAGATCTTCTTGCTTTTTTAGTTGTGAATCATGGCAGGTGGCTGTATTTATTAAGCTGCTGCTACATCTCTCCAGGCAGACTCTGGCACAGAGGTTGTGCTACAGATGGTCCATGTTTGAGCTGAAGCATCAAGTCTTTGAGCTGAAAGCTGCAAGGGCCAGCTCAACCAAGTCATATCAGTCATGGGTGTCTAGTTTTCTTTTCTTCATCAAGTCCACATCTCCTTATACTCCCAGCAGAGAAATAGTGTGGGGGAGAAAGAGGCATCAGTCATCTTGTCAATTAATAAAGAACTCCTCACATTTTACTTCCTTTCCTAAGAGTTCTCTATTTGCAAAACTCCCAGAACTGTTTGTATAATGTGGTAGCTACTAGCAACCTATGTCTATTAAGCACTTAAATGTGTTTTATCTGAATTGAAACATGCTATAAGTGCAAAAAACCACACCAGCTTATAAAAACAGTATGAACAAGAAATTTAAGTCTCATTAATAATTTTATATTGATTATACTTGACATCATATTTAGTAATAGTTACATAAGTAAAACATGCTATTAAAATTAATGTCACCTGTTTTTTTTACTCCTTCAAATGTGATTACTAGAAAATTTAACATTACACATGTGACTCACATTGTTTCTCTGGACACATCTGTATGGATTATTCCTTCACATGTATTAAGGGCTTCTCATATCAGGTGATTATTAATGTCAGAACATCATAGGTTGATATGTTAGTCTCTCTCAATCCCTTCACACCCAATACCTTTTATAACAAATATTTATAATGCTGCTTTTATAGTTTTGAATGGTATTCACTGATAACTCACATATAATCCCTTTTAAAAATCAATAAAATGCTCTAAATATAATGAAAGTGTGAAATAAGAAAAGAATTTACAATTAAAGAGTATGCATATACTAAAATATGCAGATGCTGACATAAAACCAAGCTAACAGATACAGTGAAGAGTCAGAAGCTTGCATCTCTATAGAATGACTGAATATAATAGCTATGATTGCAACAGGATATAGGTGTATTGTGTAGGAGACTCAAATACTACAAGCAGTATTGTCAACAATATGGTTTTCCTAAATGAAGAAATTTTAGTAAATTCTAACCAAAAAAGTATAAGCTTTTCTTTTCAGATTCTTATTAACACTATGTGAAAATAGCATTTGTAATTTTAAAACAAAAGATCTATATGCAAATATTTAAAAACAAGTTGTCACCTACATAAGTGGACATAGAAAGTCAGTCAGGAAAGTCAGCAATTCTTAGTTGTGCTGTTTCAGATATTACAAGACATCTGTCTTCCTTGACCCCCCACTCATTAAATGCCCCCAGTCCCACCCAAACATTGTGACAATCAAAAAGTAAATTCAACTGTTCTGAAATATTACACTTTCACCTTCCCCCCCAGTGGTCCTTTTTCATTCATACTCTTAAAAATCTTAAAAAATATATAGATTGCACATTGCATTTTTTCTTCAGATTTTCTTGGGGGGGATATATATTATCATGCACTTTTTCTTATAATTTAATTCTATTGACTTGTATTCAGTGAATCACCATCTGTGGTGACTTTCAAGTAAGTCTATAAATAACATCATATTTCTCCTTCAAAAGATGGTGCTTAATTCCCCATCCTTTGAATGTGAACTAGACTTAAAGTCTTGTTTCTACTAAGTTAATATAGTAGAAATGACATTGGTTGGCTTTTAAGAGTAGGTTATACACATAAATGTCACTGCAGCTTCCTCTTTGCTCTCTCTCTCTCTCTTTATGATAACTAGCTCTAGGGAAAGACAACTGACATGCACAAAAACACTCACTACTATAAAAAATAGTCCAAATGATTGTCAGCAGTCAGTGAAAACTGAAACGTCCTGCTAACAGCTATGTTAGAGAGCTGTCTGGAAGGCTGTCCTTCCACCTTAGTAAAATCTTTAATTGACTGCAGTCTTGGATTACACCTTGACTTCCACCTCATGAAAAGCCCAGAGCCAGAGATGCTCATCTAAGTTGTTCTCAATTTCTGACCATAAAAACTGTAAGATAAAAATTTTTTGCTATTTTACTTTTATATTTACAATTTTGGGGGCAATTTGCTCTAAATAACTAATAACTATGTAGCTTTTTAAAGTCTTGAAGGAAGCAGTTAAATCATCTTTCTCTTCTTTAACCTATCTTCTTTTTTGTTTGGTTTGGTTAAACTTTAAATGCATAGTTATAATTTAATGATTTTTTGGTTCTTCATTATATGACACAATACGTAGAGTCTCAACTTGATTTAAAATATTCCTTTGGGAATTATGCTCAGTGAAATAAGCCAGAGGAAAGAGAAAAATATCGCATGGTTTCACTTATAACAGGAATATAGGGGAACCAAATAAGACATCAGTGTAAAAAAATAATAATAGTACAAAACACAACAAAGCAAAAACAGAATTATAAATCAAACATATAGGGGAGGA